ACGTGGGTGTGGGTGTGGGTGTGGGTGTGGGTGTGGGTGTGGGTGTGGGTGTGGGTGGGTGTGGACGTGGGTGTGGGTGTGAGTGCGGATGTGGTTGTGGACGTGAGTGTGGGCGTGGGTATGGGTGTTGACGTGGATGTCGATGCGAGATTCGAATACATCTCCATCCACATCCATACCCACCCACACCCTCAAGATATCGTTATGAATTCATGAAAATTACTGCCGTTACTGCGAAATGAACAACGTGCATCAATTGATGTATTGTGTGACATACGCAGTCACGAGAAACAGAAAGAAATGCACAAAAACATGAAGAAGGTAAACATTGAAGCAACAAATACTGACAATTTTATCGTTCTGCGATTCATTTTCCTATCTACGACAACAATATATTTCACGCTGCACACTGCTGATTCACGTACCATACGTTTTTTCAACGAACAGCAAATTATTCTGGCTTTTCTACTACACTAGTTATTATATTAGGCCATCTTGAACTGAAAAATAATGGACCTGCAAGATCGATTGAATAATAGTTGGGTGTGGGTGGGTGTATGTGTGGGTATGGGTGTGGGTGTGGATGTGGATGTGGAAATTTGGTGTATGTGTGGGCATGGGTGTGAGTGTGGGTGTGGGTGTGATGACGTCACAGAGACACCCACACCCTAGTATTGTGGAAATTTATCAAAAAAAAATTTAAAAGATCTCTGTAAACCATACGTATACGTTCGCTAATATCAAGAAAAAATATTTGTAGTTTTATTATGTAATATTATTCGCTTGAAGATAAGTTTTATTTGAAATGAATAAATAAAAGTAAAAGAAAAAAGTCAAAAGAAAGTTCAATAAGTAATGAAATGTTACTTCTAATTTAGCATGTATTCGTGAAAATGCTCCGTCTATCAATGCTACCATCCCAGTATGATCGAAGATATAAATTACCTTTGCTATCTAAACGTATTCTAGGAGCAGACCAATAAAATACGGACACAATAGTTGTTACAGTTGATGTACTAGGTGCCCAACGTGTAATATTATTAACACCAGCTACATAAATATTGCCTGAATTGTCAAGAGTTAAACCACCCATGATATAATTATAATATATCGAAGAATAGGATGTACTGATCGAAGAGGAGAATAACAATCTAGCATATTGATTTCCTGGTGAAAAAGCCACTACACGACTAAAATACAAACATTTGAAAGATTTCAAATAAATAGAATTGATTGTCAAAAAGAAAATGTTTCGTATTTGTAAGAGATTGTCTTCTAAGAAGTCAAAACGGTTGTTCATGATTTGTAAAAAAAAAAATATCGAATTGATAAGACTCTTTAAAGTCTTAATATTTTAAAAATAAACTCAACTCCTTATTAATATGAGTATCTACAAAATATAATAGAAAATGACTCTTTTCAAACAACATCATCTGTAATAACTTACTTATTGCCAGCATCTAAAACATATAGAGTATAATTAGCATCGACAAATAATCCTTGTGGATAACTTAGAAGGTTCAATTGTGATCCAGTTGTATTTGTTACACCAGCAACAACAATCGCAATAGAATTATTTGGTGTTATTTTGATGATACGATAATTATTCGAATCAGAACAGTATACTGATCCTTGACGGTCAGCTACTATATCTACGCATCCACAAAAACTATTCAAATCTGAACCACATTGAGTTTCGCCAAACATAATTGTACCGTTAATCCAATTATTAGAATCATATCGTTGTATTCGATAGTTATAAATTGGATATGAATACTAAATAAAAATATTTAGATATACATTCATATTAAACATAACACATCAGATCATTTACATACACGAGATTCATATGTATAAATTATTCCATTAGAATCTACGAATAGGCGCTGCAAAGTATAAGTTGATGATGCACCAGGTCCTGCCACATATATTCCAACAGTACTATTGGGAGCATATTTATAAATTTGCTTGTTGTAGGTTTCCATAACGTAGATGTTATCAGCAGAATCAATATCAAAGTCGCCAATCGTAAACTGATAGCTACTATTCCAAAGCGATGATACAATACGTGTTGTATTCTGATTCCATGTTGCATTTGAACAAATTCCAGTTGTAGATGCTGCTTCAAATAGAAACCAGATAAACAAAGAATACTATTATATTCATGAAACTCATTTTTCTCCAACCTCAGTATCAATTAAAATTCTCATAATATATTCTTACATGAGCTGGAACTGTTCTGTGCATTGCATTGACTGGACAGTAGGGGTGGCACTTTCCTTTCCTTTCTTTTGGGAAAGGAAAGTAAAAACTTTCCTTTCCCAAAAGAAAGGAAAGTTTTTACTTTCCTTTCCTAAAAGAAAGGAAAGTTGAAAGAAAGTTAACTTTCCTTTCCTAAAAGAAAGGAAAGGAAAGTGAACCCTTTGGATCTTCAAGTCCTATATAATGAGGGTACCCTGGGTCCTGAAGTCCTATGTAATGAGGGCACCCTTTGGTCCTCAAGTCCTATATAATGGGGTATCCTTGGGTCCTTAAGTCCTATATAAAGAGGGTACCCCTAGATCCTCAAGTCCTATATAATGGGGGTACCCATAGGTCCTCAAGTGCTATATAATGAGGGTACCTACATGTCCTCTAGGAGTACCATATAGGAGTACCCATAGATCCTCAACAGCTGTTTTATATAGGTTCCCGTTCGGTACTCCTATATAATAGCTCTTGAGGACCTATGGGTACCACTGTATACCAGTCCTTCAGGACCCATTTGTACCCTCATTATATAGAACTTGGGGACCTAAGGTACCCCACAAAAAAGAGCTGATAAGAAAATCCAAAAGAAGGTGAAAGAAAGTAAAAAGAAAGTAAAAGAAAGTAGAAAGAAAGTAAAAGAAAGTAGAAAGAAAGTAAAAAGAAAGTAAAAGAAAGCGAAAAGAAAGTAAAAGAAAGTAAAAGAAAGTAAAAAGAAAGTAAAAGAAAGTAGAAAGAAAGTAAAAAGAAAGTAAAAGAAAGTGAAAAGAAAGCAAAAGAAAGTAGAAATAAATGCGGAAGCTTCGGATTTAAATCCGAGAGTTATGTGTACTTCAAAAAGTGAATCATACAAATCAATCATCCTAGACTGTCTGAATATCAAAATTATACCGTGAAATCTACCATTTAAAATGTTGATTTCTATTGCACGTTGCCAAACCAATAGGACATGGGACCGAATACAGCTCAAGTCTGAACTTTTTCCCTTGATTTACCCTAAGAAAGTCGTTTTTCCTATAACTTCATTTCTATTGGTCACTGCACAACTAATAGTATTTCGATGGAAGTGCAGTACACATTCGAGTTCTCCATATCTGAAAATCTCGAAGTATCATCAGTGTGACCGGAAGATAAAGCTCTATTTGTGGATCCATTAGATCGTGGACCAAAATATAACCTAGTTCTCTTTAATTATTCTTGTCATAGGTAAGTCAACCTTCTTGTTTCTTTATGTTTTACATATCATTTTGTAGTTCTTGAAATTCTCTATCGAATGGTATATAATAGTTGGGGTTTTAATTGACTATGATAGGAAAAGTCTTTTACGAAAGTCGCGATGGGTCCATTTTTCCACAGAAAGCTGTAGGGAAAAATGGATATTTTTTCAATAACTCAGGAATGGCTCGGCCGGTTCTTCTCATCTTCGAACTCGGCCGAGATATTGTCAAGACTAAGCTGTGTAGAAAGTTTCATAGCAATCCGACTCTGCTGTCAAAAGTTATCATGTAAACAGCCAACCGGACGGACAGACACACTGACTATTCTATAGTGTACTCACTTTTTGAGTACATAAAACTATGATTCGGTTCAAAACTAATATCAAATTCAGAATTAGCGT